CTGCTGCACAAGCAGGCAAGCAGCTAGTCTGGCACCTACTTATCAAATGTTTTTCAACTCACTCTTTTATAGCGTTGACAATTTTTTTGACATCGTCGTCTTTGTAATAATATGGCACAGACACTACTTTGCCACCAGCTGGGACAATATTTTCTGGATTTGTTCCTGAAAACAACTACGATTTCCGTTTATTCATTCACAAGGCTCCAGAAGAGAAAATCCTTTTTTGATTTTTTTTTGCTCAATAATTGGCTCACCTTTAAGGCCTACGGCCACTAATGTCTCAATGCCTTCATTTTTAGGTTCTAGTCTCGGCAAATCCGCTGTGTCAGATCTGTATGTTGCATCAAAATAAAGCTCTGTTGGCTAATGAATTGAGAAAGAAGACTCACTGGGCACTGAAGAAGACCATACAGTTTAGTTTTTCTTCTACCATTTCGTTGATTACTTCAATGGCCCTGAATGATGTTCATGTTTGTGCACAAACACTAGTATTCTATTGCACACCTTTCCGTATTTATAACATCACTGACGTTAGCATAGTCCATTCTCAACAGTAACTGATCAAATTCATCATAATTCTTAGTCATTTTATTCAAAGCGTCAAGAATGTTTCTGGGATAGTTTGTATAGCCGTATGCCCAAAGCGCTATTTGCGTGTTCAAGGTAGGCAGAGCAAAGACATCATAGGCTACTCGAGAAAGTAGCTCCAACTCCTGAAAGTCGAGTATCTCGCCTTCTCAAACTTACGTGTGACACATACCATGTCGTATCCCTCAGTGTCGCTTCCGTAGTTGAAGACATCCCCAATAAACATGCAATTCAATTTTCTTCTTGGTACCGTTGACGTGGGCGGAGGTGTAGGGTGCGTTGTTGTACGTGTAACTTTTGTTGTTCTCCTTGTTGTGCCTGGAAGCAAGACTAATTTTTGATGGAAGTCAGTGAGTTTGGTAGTCACTGAAGTTGCTTATTTTAGTCGTGCTTTCAACAATTCACAATTGACCATGCTATTGGAAAGCTGGTTCAACAAAAGATTCCTACAGTAGCCGAAGTGACTCATGCTAAGAATCACAGCTGTAAGGTGACTATA